GTGGATGCTTGTAAGATCCAAGGAGATGGTACATGTTGAAGGCTTGGTAGTGGGCCTGGCGTAGAGTAAGAGTCGGTAAATGGGTTTTTCCTCTTTTCCCTCCCAGCAGAAGCCCCCAGCATTCTTTCCCTTCAATCTCATGCTCTCCTCCTGAGGACAGGGAAGAGAGCCCAGCACAGGGTGCCCAGTGGGACTTAGCTTCTGCATGGTGTCCTCTGATCCTGCTTCACCCAAACAGATGAAGCAGTCAGCCCTGGGTTGTGGGTAGAAGTGGGAATTGGGTTGTGGGGTGAACTTATAGTAAAAAGAGTGGATTCATCCTTGGTGATTATCAGGAGAAATGGCCAGGCCTCAGGATTTGTGGACCACCTGCTGGTCAGACCAGGTGATATGTTAGTGTTCCAAGCAGCTCTATGCTGGGAAGTGTTTTCAAAATCTGCTTTTATGTAGATGCTATTTGAGTATAAATAGTTTAGTTGTGAGTTATATAAATGTTAATCATATAAAATGCCTAGTAAAGTGATTAAGGAGTATTCCTGCTATGGCTCAAAGGTTGAGTTTGATCTGTGAACCAGGAGGTCAAGGTTTCATTTCTGGTTAGGCACATGCTTGGGGTTGTGGGCTGGATCTCTAGGAGAGGCAATGGGGATGCAGCCAATCAATGATTCTCCCTCATTATTAATATTTCCATCAGTTTCTCCCTTTCCCCCTTCCTGAAGTCAATAAAATATTAAAATAATAAAATAGAATGATAAATGAAATTTACTATTTTAAAGAGTGCAAAGGGATATTTTATATTTTTTTATTTTTTTAATTCTTTCTTGTTTAAAGTATTACCTAAGATTTCTTTTTCCTTCATTGATTTCTCTTTTGCCACCCTCACCCCTCTACTGTCTTTCTCTTGTGCTTATGCTAATATGCATGCATGTAAGTCCTTTGATTGATCGATCTCTTACCCCCTTACCCCTGCCTTCCTTCATAGGTTGAACTGTCTGTGTGATGCTTCTGTGATTCAGTTCTATTTTTGTTCATCAGGTTATGGTGTTCATTATATTCCACAAATGAGTGAGATCATATGATATTTCTTTTTCTCTGATTGGCTTATTTCACTTAGCATAATGATTTCCTGTTCAATCTATGCTGTTGCAAATGTTAAGAATTCCTTCTTTTGCCAAAACCGGTTTGGCTCAGTGGTAAAGCGTTGGTCTGCAGACTGAAAGGTCCCAGGTTCGATTCCGGTCAAGGGCATGTACATTGGTTGCGGGCACATCCCTGGTAGGGGGTGTGCAAGAGGCAGCTGGTCGATGTTTCTCTCTCATTGACGTTTCTAGTTCTCTATCCCTCTCTCCTCCTCTCTGTAAAAAATCAATAAAAAAATATATTTTAAAAAAAAAGAATTCCTTCTTTTTTTTTACTGCAGTCTACTATTTCATTGTGTAGGTGTATCACTGTTTTTTCAATCCACTCATCTGCCGAGGGGCTCTGAGGCTGTTTCCAAATCTTAGCTATTGTAAGTTGTGCTGCTATAAACCTAGGGTTGCATATACCCCCTCTGACTGGTGTTTCTGTTTTCTTGGAATATATTCCTAGAAATGGGAATACTAGGTCAAATGGAAGTTTCATTTTAAAATTTCTGAGGAAATGCCACACTGTTTTCCCATGGGGATGTTTAAAAAACAAGAAAATGTTTGCCCTAGGTGGTTTGACTCAGTTGATAGAGTACTGACTGAAGTGTTCCATGTTTGATTCTGTTAAAGGGCACATGCCCGAGTTTGTGGACTCAATGCCCAGTAGGGGGGGGTGCAGGAGGTAGCCAATCAATGATTCTCTCACTTCATTGATGCGATTCCCTCTCGTTTCCTCTTTGAAACAAAAATATTTTTGAAAAGTGGATTTTCTTTTTCAGACAGATTTAAGTTCCCAGCAAAATTGAGCAGAAGGTAGAGAGTTCCCATACACTTCTGCCCCTCCACACTCACAGCCTCTCCACTCTCCACGCACCCCACCTCTCCACTGGGCCAGGCATTTGTTACAACTGTTGACCTGCACTGACACATCCTGGTCCCCCACAGCTGTGTGATGGCAGGTTTTTTAACTGCAGACAAATCCTATGATCCCCAGCAGAGGCAGCCTGGGTTGTGCTGTCCATTCCCAGGAGAGCTCAGCCGCAGGCCTCAGCACTCACTCCGGTGCCTCCTCTCCTCACTAAAAGTCTTTTCAGTGGCGCTGTCTTCTCCATGTGACTCAGAGTTCCCCAGAGTCAAAGCTTGGCACACACTCTGGGTGCTCAGAGGAGTCTGTGGGGTGAGTGACTGACAGGAGAAGGATGGGGACCTAGAGGAAGGCTGTGCAGGCCAGGAACTCCACATGGCAGCAATTGGCTGGCCACAGCTGGCCTTCCTCACACCACCAAGGGCCACCTGTTCATTTGCGGATGTCTAAGGACCTATGATTGCTGCCTGGCCTCACAGTGCCTCTGGTTCTGCACACCACACGGATGTCAGACAATGCAGAACAGAGCGATATTGGGGTCAGGGTTACTGAAGTGGGGACTTAGGGGCTGGTGGTCATAAGAGAGATCATTGGGGGTGTGGATAAGTGAAGTTTTGTCATGAGGGCAGGAATGGGGCCAAGGGAGACACAGTGTAGTCCAGGAAGGCACTTGTTATCCACGAAGTATTCTCTGGGGAGGAACCTTTTCCCTTTGATAAACATCACCTGGTGGCAGCTGCCATTATGTTGACAAGGTTGCATGTGATTGGATGACTGTTATTTCTGTCCCTGGCTCCAACATCCCAAAGAGCCCACAGAATCCAGTCACAATGCCTTTTGGGCTTAAAAATGTCTAACTCCCAGGGCTGACCCCTGCCCCCTCTGCTCACATTCTTAATTTAATCTTCCCCACCCAGATTGCTGAGCTAATCCCATCTTCCCCAGTGCAGACCCACCCTTTTCCTCCTGGGCGGAACAGAAGATGGAATCTCTCCCTTTACTCTCTAGGATGGCACTGCATCCCCTCCAGTTTTTCTCCTTTTAGATCCCGAATTCAACCAGAGAATAGTCTTTCCATCTCTCTTCTTTCCAAGAAAACCCCCATCTTTTCCATGGCCCTGGGTCATTCACAGGGTCTCATTAGGATGGCCCAGCGCCACCCTGCCCAGCCCTGACCCCTGCTTGTCATGGTGCTTCTGTCCTGACCAGCCACAATCTCAGTTGCCCACCACTTCCTCCCTGAGGAGCTCATAATCTGCTATGTCACCTGCCAAAACACCAAACTTGATGCCTGGACACATTTTCTTAGTTCTCCTGAGGATGGCACCAGTGTCTTCTCAAGGATGTTTTAACTCTGCAATGTTCTGATAACTTTGATGTGGCCAAAGACCCCCAGCAACCATGCTTTTAACATCAGGAACCCATGACACCTTCACTGTCTCACACAGATGATGAAGCTATGGACCATTAGTCAACCTCAGTCAGTTTCTGTGGAAGGGATCTGTAGAGAGCCATCTGGGAAGGCACATGAACATTCTTTTAATTCTTATCAGCTGAGCCTAAGGGCACTGGCAGAATCCTGTTATCAGTACTGATTTTTTTATCTTTATCAATGTGCTTGGAAGGAGGAACAAATAGGACCTGACTTACCCAGATCTTGATATGCCAAATCTTGTACCAAAAAATGAAATGAGGAGTTTACCCAGATCTTGATGAATAGGATGTGGGCACACCCGAGACTCCTTTTGACCTTCAACTCCCCTTTGGAAACCAATCAATATACTGTGTTGTCTGTGGTGGGTGTGACTGTCTCTCCATCAGAGAGATGGCGCCCACCTAGCGCCCAGCTTTATGAATCTATTTCTGCCTCTCGTCTCTTTCTTTCTCTAATTTCTTAATCCACAGCTCCTGCACTCAGGAACCTGTCGTTATCTGTGTGGGACACAGAAAACAGAGAAAATGCCCACCACAGAGATTAATGAGCCAGGCCTCCACCCTGCACTTCCCTAACTTTCTCTCAATCCAATCATCTGAAGGAGACAATAATTGCGTTAGGATTAAGGGTGGGAGACCGAGGGTCCTGATTGGATTCTAGTATTTAAGAAGGTGTATAAAAACCTCAGGCACCAGAGGAGAGATTCAGAGACTTCCAGCTCTGCAGTCAGTGCTCAGATCCTCCAGCAGGTCTGAGATCTGAGCCCCAGACAAGCCAGTCACAGCAGGTAAATTACTGTCCTCAGCTAAGGCAGCTGATCTCAGGTTGGCACAGACCTTTCTCTTTTCTTTCTGTTGTTTTAACAGACTGATTGAAGGCATTGAGTTTGCCTCTTGGTGTGGTTTTTCCTGAATTTCAAAATTTGGGCTTGAGCTTTGTCCTATTTTAAAGGTGTAACCAAGCTGTTTCTCTGATGCCCCTCCTCTCTCCAAGCCCCTAATGAAAACATGTTAACTGTGGTTTTATTTCTGGAAATTTTAAATATTGAGTTTGTGTCCATAGACTGGTCTGAAATTTCCCTCAAAAAAGGTGGGGGTCTGCCGAAACAGGTTTGGCTCAGTGGTAGAGCATCAGTCTCCGGACTGAAAGGTCCCGGGTTCGATTCCGGTCAAGGGCATGTACGTCGGCTGCGGGCACATCCCCGGTGGGGGATGTGCAAGAGGCGGCTGGTCGATGTTTCTCTCTCATCGACATTTCTGGCTCTCTATCTCTCTCCCTTCCTCTCTGTAAAAAATCAATAAAATATTTTTTTTTAAAAAAAAAAAAGGTGGGGGTCAGCTTTCAGGCCCTTCGTACCCACTTCCCAGGCAGATTGGAATGAAAATGTGGGTGCTTCTGGGGCCTACAAGGGAACTATGGCTCTGTGGCTCTCACCATTGCCAGGCATGGGCTTTGAACCTGAGTTGATTCCTGTGAAAATGGGGAGTCAGAGGATGGGGCTCAAAGGCTTGGCCTGACAAGGATGCCTTGTTCCCTACAATTTTCCACAGGATTCCTTTGGAGCACCTCAAGGATGAGCATTAGGACCCCACCCACACTCCTGCAGCTGGCAGGGGAGAGCCTCCTGAGGGACCAGGCCTTGGCCATCGCAGCTCTGGAGTACCTGCCCGCCGAGCTCTTCCCGCAGCTGTTCATCCAGGCCTACCGTGGTAGACATCTCCAGGTCCTGAAGGCGATGGCACAAGCCTGGCCCTTCACTGTCCTCCCTCTGGGGAGCCTGAAACGGCCACCTCCAGTCCAGGTCTTCAAAGCCGTGTTGGATGGGCTTGACCTTCTGCTTGCCCAGGAAGTTCGCCCCAGGTAAGGCTGCTCCTGGTACTTGGGAGGGTTTGCGGCATCCTGGAGACCAAGGTGGTCAGGGTATGTGGAGGGCCTAAGGGGGACCCAAATTTTCTGAAGGTGCCAGTGAGGATAGGGAGCCCTGGCACCCTGCTGAGCTCACTGGGGAGTGCAGCACTGCATACTAGGCAGAGGCACCTCCAAACTGTGCCCTGCCTCCTCGCAGTGGTAAAGATACACGAAGTGCTGAGCAGGATGGATGGAAGGAGATGAGCAAAGCAAAGCAGGGCCAAGGGAGACGCTGAGCTTGAGAATCAAAGTTAAAGTCAGGGTGGGGGTAGAGTCTGGTTGTTGCCTCAACTCGGATGCTTAGTCTCATTCTGACCTGCCCTCATTTGGTGAATCTTTTGGGAAAAAAACAAACATTTTTTTCCCTCTTGATTTCAGAGAGGAAGGGAGAGATAGAAGCCACAATGATGATAGAGAATCATTGATCAGCAGCCTCCTATACACACACACACACACACACCACCCTAAGCATGCAGCATGCAACCCAAGCATGTATCCTGACCAGGGATTGAACTGTGACCTCCTGGTTCGTAGGTAGATGCTCAACCACTGAGACACACTGTCCATACAGCATGTTAGCCAATGTCCTGTTGTCCTGAAAGAATCTTGGCTAATGTCCTGCTTTCCCCACAGGAGGTACAAACTGCGGGTGCTGGATCTAAGGGACAGGGATTCTGACTTCTGGAGAATGTGGTGTGGAGACAGCACCCAGAAGCACTCACCGATGGTACCAGTGGCTGTGCACAGGTCCAGCCCCAACAAGGAGCACCCCTTGGCTCCAGTGGAGGTGTTTCTAGACCTTAACTTCAATGAAAGGGACAAGGACGAGTTTCTCATGTACGTCATCCAATGGGCCCAGCAGAGGGAAGGGCTGGTACACCTGTGCTGCAAGACGCTGAGGATTGCTGCGGTGCCTTTCTACAGGGTGAGGCAGGTCCTGGATGCCGTGCAGCTGGACTGCATCCAGGAGTTAGTACTGAACTGCACCTGTGACCTGACCACCCTGGAGATGTTTGCTCTTTATATGGGGCAGATGAAGAACCTGCAGAGACTATTTCTCTCCCACATCCATGTGTTGGTTGAAGAAGAGCAGGATTGGGGAGAGGAAGGGGAGCAGGATTGGGGAGAGGAAGGGGAGCAGGAATGGGAAGAGGAAGAGGAGCAGGATTGGGAGGAGGAAGAGGAGCAGGAGAGGGAGGAGCAGGAGTTGCAGATATCCTTTTCCCAGTTCTTCTCTCAGATGCTCAGCCCACTGCACCTCCGTGAGCTGGACCTGGATTCACCCTCCTTCCTCCGAGACCGTCTGGACCAGATGCTCAGGTGAGCTGTTTAGCACTGTACACAGCATTAGTAAAAAAAAAAAAAAAAAAAAAAAAAAAAAAAAAAAAAAAAAAAAAAAAATGGTGTTAGATGCTTTGAGGGTGATATCCTCTGAGCACCCAAAGGAACATGTTTTGAAATCAGCCTGTCAGGATGGGTAACAGAACTGCCTCAATGAGGGACCCAGCGACCCTGGGTGTTGAATTCTTCCTTAGTGACAGATGTCTAAGTGATGAGGCCTTAGGAAAGGGGTTGGAAGGAGGCAAAGCCACATCAGATGGAGCATTTGAGACATAAGCTCTGTGGTCACCAGCCACGTGAACACACGTGAGCCTGTGTCAGATTCCCCATCTGTCAGAGATGGTCCTGGTACCAGGAAGGTCATTCACAGAAAGGACAGGCATAGTTCTGCAGCTAAGGAAGCCGGAGTGGACAGGATTGCAGAGTGACCAGTGGTTTGCGTTGATGTATGGATGGAAGTCTCCTCTGCACACTGGCCTCCCCAGTTGATGTTGCAGAATCTTCCTCTGGTTTACTCTCTCCCTTTTTAAAAAATCATCAAAAGATAATATTTTTTCCCCATTGATTTTTAGAGAGTTGAATGGAAGGGAAGAGAGTGGGAGAGAAATACAAAGTGAGAGATGATTGGTTGCCCTCAGCATATGCCCCAACACGGGTCACGCATTGAGCCTGCAAATGAGATCTGTGCCCTTGACTATGAATCAAATCTGAGACTCTTGGGTCCAAAAGGAAAAGCTCTGTCCACTGATTTAAACAAGCTAAGGCCAGGTGTGTTTCCTCTGAATTAGATGAACAAGCCTCATGTTCCCAGATGTCTGGTGCTTGGAGCCAAGCAGTGGACAGAAGGGAGCCTGAGTTGACAGGATGGTGGGTTTTGCCTCCCAATCATAAGGTGCAGGGATGCCCACTTTCAACTAGATGCTGTCATGCTCTCTGAGCCGGTTCCCGCAATTTCCTTTCTGTCGAAGCATTCACCAGCATGCAGTGCTCTGCTTGGCAGTTGAGGAAAGGAAGCTCTGGAGAAGTGGTGAATTTGACCCAGCCTAAAAGGAGTCTGGGCGTCCTGGCTACTGAACTTCATCAGATTGTCAGGACAACCCTGAGCTTGGACAAATCGGTCTTCTCCCCCATGGAGGCCCCTTCTACCTGCCACCGCGTCCCCAGGAACTAACCGCTCTGTGTCTCCCCAGGTGCCTGCAGACCCCCTTGGAAAAACTCACCATAACAAATTGCCAGAGCCTAACCCATTCAGACCTAACACACCTGTTCCAGTGCCAGAACCTCAGGCAGCTGAAGTCCCTGCGTCTGTATTGTGCCAGCCTCGCTGATTTTAGTCCTGAGCCCCTCCGAGCTCTGCTGGAGGCAGTGGCACCCAACCTCCAGGTCCTGGGCCTTGATAAGTGTGCCATGGTGGACTCCCAAGTCGAGGCCATCCTGCCTGTCCTGAGCCGCTGTCACCAGCTCAGTTTCTTCACCATCTCTGAGAACCGCCTGTCCTTGGCCACCGTGGGGAAGCTGCTGCGCCACACAGCTGGGCTGCATAGCTTAGAGCTGGAGCTGTATCCTGTCCCCCAGGAGTGTTACACGACCCAGGGCACTGTCAACATGGAGAGGCTTGCCCTGGTCCGGGCTGAGCTGACAGGAGTACTGAGGGAGTTAGGAACGACCAGGATGATCCTGCTTGCCGCCAAACACAGAGGCCACAGGGAGGTTTATGCTGTGCCCCTGTAATGACCCTGCTCAGTGGGAGCACCTGAGCTTTTTCCTCAGCCTTTGGAAGCTGAAACCTCAGACTAGGTGCATTATACAGGGGCCACCCCATGTTTCAGGTTCATGCTCAGTGTGAATGGGGAAAGGGAGGGACACAGCCTGGGTAAAGCATTGCAGGGACAAAGGACGGCGAGTTATTGGGACCTCAAAGGCAAAGTGTCCTACCAGCAGAAACATGAATCTCATTCGCGTGGGGAGGGGGCAGAATTTGGACTTGAGCTTTTTGTGTGGGAGTGAATCCTGAGGTCGATGATTGTAAAGGAATGATCAGAAATAAAGACAGTTTCAAAGGCAACCTTCTGGTCCTCTTGCATGTGTTCACCTGTCTTCCCATTGACACCTCAGGACACTGCAGTTACTCATTAAAAAAAAAAAAAAAAAAAAAAAAAAAAAAAAAAAACACGGCAAGGCTCAGAGTCAGAACCTGGAACTGCTTGGTTGTGTTTCGGCTGCAGGGCTCAGTACCATATTATCCCTCCCTTCAGGTCTTCTCTTCTCTCTGGGCATCTCTGACCTCCTTGTGGCTGCTCAGGGTGGGGGTGGGCGGATACAATGGGACTTGCTAGGTGACCCACCAACCCCTGAGGTGAAGGGGACCTCTCTGCTCGCTCTGACCCTGGATGCCAGTGTTCCCTATGGTTCTGCAGATGGACCCACACATCCTAGGACTTGTGCCAGGAGAGGTCCAGGGACAAGGCATGGCCCCCAGTTCCAGAAGGGCTCATCCACACGCAGAGGCACAGAGTCCTTGGGCCATCCAGCCCATGCCTGTCAGCCTGGTGCAGAGGAAGTAACCTGCTTATGACCAGGAATATTATCCAAATTCCTTTGAGCAAAATACTTTTTCTGAAGACTCCTACACCACATAAAATATAACCTGGGAAGAGGGGACAGGTCATATCCATGGGGGGTTGGCTTATGCCCATTACACTTCCCACCTCTCTATGGAGCTAGACTAGACAGCATGTACTGAAATCAGCCTGTAAGGAAGGGGAGCAGACACACTGCACAAATGAGTGAGCCTCTTGCCTGTGCTCAATCGCTGTATTAGGTAGTGTGCCCCCGAATAGCCAATAGGAACACATGGACTCAGGTAGGAGATTTATAAGGATAGGCTCCCACCTTCAGTCCCAATACCTGTCCTCTGCAAGCTGGAGAACCTACAAAGCCAATGGTATAACTGAAGCCAAGTCCAAGTTAGGCTTGAGAACCAGGGGAGCCCATGGCAGAACCCCCCAGTGTGAGGCCATAGGCTTGAGAATAAAAGGCAGCTGGTGCACACCCAGGAGTTTGATGCCCTGACAACCAGGAACCTATGTTCGTCATCAGCTAAAACCAAAGAAGAGAGAATTCATCCTTTCTTCCTCTTTCTAATCCACTTGTGCCCCCAAGAGACTGGAGGAAGCCCACCTGCACTGTATGATCTCCTTACTCATCTACTGAATCATAAGCCAACCCAGGCAATTTACACCCAGAATGGTTTACCAGCTATAATACTTGGTCAACCCTTAGCGCCATCAAGTTCAGTGGTTGCCAACTGGTGGTCCATGAGGTCCAAAAGTTTGATGACCTCAGGTCAAGTTGCAACATAAAATTAACCCCTCACAGGGACCCTCATCAAAGGGCACTCTAATAAACTCACGCTGAAGACAGGCCCGGAGCAGCAGCTGCCAGGCCGGGAGTGGCCAGGCCCGGAGCGGCCGGGTCCGGAGCAGCAGCTGCCATGCCCGTAGCAGCCGGGCCCACAGTAGCCGGGTTGGTAGCAGCCAGGCCCGGATCAGCAGCAACCAAGCCCAGAGCAGCCAGGTTGGGAGCAGCCAGACCCGGAGCGGCAGTAGCCAGGCTGGGAGCGGCAGTGGCCAGACCTAGAGCAGCTGGTTGTGGAACGGACCAGAGCAACAGAGGCCAGGCCCAGAGCAGCCAGGCCCAAAACAGCTTGCTCCTTGCCTGCCCCCGCCCCAAGGCTGCCTCTCAGACATGGCTGGAAACTTTTGAGGGAACTTGAGGGTCTGCTGAATCAAATGAGGAAGGCTTAGATCTGTGTTGAGTTAGTATAGCGCTGGGGTGTTGACCTGTGAGTGCCTTGGGTGGGGCCTGGATGAGGTTGGTTGATCTCTTTGGAAATGTCTTTTGTGTGAAGTGTATCCTTGGGCATGTGGAGGTATTATTGATCTGAGTAAATGCTAAGTAACTGATGTACTATCTGAAAAATTTAAAGTTCTGAAAGTTTAAGGTCTCTTGCCAAAAAGAGGTTTTAAAGCTAACACCTTAATTTTAATGGAGAAAGGAGAAGACAAGCCCTTCCCACCCAGAACAGGTAATCCAATTCCAACCATCAGCTAAGTTTAAACAATGTGTCCATTTACCCTTGAATGGCTACACCTTTTTTTTTTTTTTTTTTTTTCTTTTTTTTTTTTTCTTAATTTTTATTGTTCATATTAATACAAATGTCCCTTCCCACCCCACCCTCTGCCCTTTCCCCACCCCCCATTGTCCTCATCCATAGGTGCACAGTTTATGTTCAGTCTCTTCCCACATCCCCTTCTCCCCTTTTCCCCAAGAATCATCAGTTCACTCCCCTTCCATACCTCTGATTCTATTATATTCAACAGTTAATATTGTTCATCAGATTTTTTTTTTAATTTCCTTGGTTTTTAGATTCACTTGTTGATAGTTACGTATTTGTTGTTCATAATTTTTATCTTTATTTACTTTCTCTTCTGAAAGAACCCCCTTCAGCAATTCATATAATTCTGGTTTGGTGGTGATGAACTCCTTTAGCTTTTTTTTATTAGTGAAGCTCTTTATCTGACCTTCGAATTTGAGTGATAGCTTTGCTGGATAGATTATCTTTGGCTGTAGGTTCTTACTATTCATCACCTTGAATATTTCTTGCCATTCCCGTCTGGACTGCATGGTTTCTGTTGAGAAATCAGCTGACAATCGTATAGGTGCTCCTTTATAGGTAACTATCTGCCTAGCTCTTGCTGCTTTTAATATTCTCTCTTTGTCTTTTGCTCTTGGAATATTAATTATGATTTGTCTTGGTGTGGTCCTCTTTGGATTCCTTTTATTTGGAGTTCTGTGTGCTTCCTGGACTTGTAAGTCCAATTCTTTCCCCAGGTGGGGGAAGTTTTCTGTCACTATTTCTTTCAATATGTTTTCGATATCTTGCTCTCTCTCATCTTCTGGGACCCCCATAATTCTGATGTTGGATCGTTTGAAGTTGTCCCAGAGGTTTCTTACATCATCTTCAATTTTCTGGATTCTCTTGCCTTCTAGCGACTGCAGAGGAGTATCTTCTGGCTCTTTATGTTCCAAATCTTTGACTTGATTCTCAATTTTCTGGATTCTCTTGCCTTCTAGCTTCTGCGGAGGAGTATCTTCTGGCTCTTTATGTTCCAAATCTTTGACTTGATTCTTGCGATCTTCTATTCTGTTTTTAGGACTCTGTATAATAGTTTTTATTTCAGACAATGTATTCTTTATTTCTTGTTGATCCCTTTTCATATCCTCATAAGTCTCATTTATTTTATCGGCCTTTTCTAGGAAACTCTTGAAAAACCTTATAAGTGTGGTTTTGAACTCTATATCCAGTCGCTTTTTGTCCTCCATTTCTTTCGTTTGTGATCTATTTGGTTTAGGCATTTTCGCAGGCAGCTTTCCTGATGGGGCGGGGTTTCAGGGTGGAGCCTACAGCTTTGGCTTCCGTCAGCGCCGCCCTATGCGGCTCCTGAGACTCAGGGTCCTTCAGTACTTGTTGTAAGCGCCTCTGAGAGAAAGGCGCCCTTGATCGCCTGCTACCAAACAGTCTAGTCTCTCCCCCAATGGTCCCGAAACTGGGGTTCAGTTCAGTTGGAAGTGGAGTTGGAGGTGGCGTTCAGAGCAGTCTGGAGCCCCTGTCTCCTTCCCGCCAGGCAATCCCGCGGCACAGCTGGCCGGCCCTTCTCTGCGCGGCGCCGCCGCCGCCGCCGGGACCTCCTTTCGCCTCTTCCCCGGGGTTCAGCCTTTCAGCCCGGCTCCCTCTGTGTGAGCCTGGGTCCCCGGGGTCTGGCCTAGGCCTGGGGTTCAGAGCAGTCAGAATGGGGGCCAGCACATTCGGAGCGTTTATCTCCTTCCCGCCAGGGAACGCCCGCCAGGCACTCAGCCTCCCTCCTCTCCGGCTCCGTCCTCTCCGCGCGCCGCGTGTCTCCGTACCTTAGGCTTTTCCAGCTCCTCCGCGCTTCCTTCTGGTTTTCTCCTTGCTTCTCGTTGTAGAATTTCCAGTCAGTCAACTTTCCTGTAGTTCTGGGTGATGTCCATTTTATATTTTAGTTGTATTTTGTTGAAATTGTTGTGTGCAGCTCGGCTAGGTGCCTACCCGAGCAGCCATCTTGGATTCTCCCCCATGGCTACACCTTTTGATAGCCTAAGGGCAAGTTTACATGTAAAAAAGTTTGCTTCTCAATTCCCAGGGCAGAAAAAAACAAGGTTTAAAATTATTAGATTTTAAAATTTATTCTTAGAAGTGTAAAAGTTTATTAATTAAAAACAACAACAACAACAAAAAGGAGATTGAAAAACCTGATGAACAATAATAGCTGTTCATTGTAGCAGGTTTGGCGATATGGGAGGGGAGTGGACTGACTGTTGTGGGTGGGGGGTGTGGAGGGGTGGATGCGGGAAGAGACTGAACATAAACTGTGCACCTATGGATAAGGACAATGGGGGGTGGGGAGGGGCCGGAGGGTGGGGTGGGAACCTGGTGGAAGGGGGAAGAAATGAGGAACCTTTGTAATAATATGAACAATAAAGATTGATTAAAAAAAAAAAAAAAACTCACGCTGAGGAAGGGTGCTGTTGGATGGAGGGACCTCAGGCAAGAACCTCAGTTCCCCTGTCAAATGAGGATCATGGTGCTCACCCAGCTTAGTGGATGCTTGTAAGATCCAAGGAGATGGTGCATGTTGAAGGCTTGGCAG